ATAAAACATGTTATTTACAGATATCAGATAAGTGGATCTTGCCTCTAAACCAATCATTTACTTTGTTCTTTAAACTGGAGAGTTAAAACCATTTGTGTGTGTGTGTCTGTGTGGGGTGGGTCATACACATGCCATAGCATCTATGTGGAGGACAGAGGCCAACTTTCAGAAGCCAATTATCTTTTTACACTACATAGCTCTCTAAGTCTCACCTGTATTGGTCTGTATATCCTTTTCTAGATTTGGAAGTTTTACTCAATAATTTATTTTTTAATTTTTGAAGATGTACTTATTTTATGATTATGATCATTTTTCCTGAATGACATGCATGCCTGATGCTTGCAGAAGTCAGAAAATGGCAGAGGATCATCTGGAACTGGAGTTATGGATGGTTGTAAGCCAATATGTGGGTCCTGGGAACTGAACTCAGGTGTCCAAGAGCATCAAGTACTCTTAACAGCTGAGACAACTCTTCAGCCCCTAATTTCTTAGTTTTGAAAAGATTTACTTTTAAATCTGTGTGTGTGTGTGTGTGTGTTTGTGTGTGTGTGTTTGTGTGTGTGTGTTCCTGTGAAGATCAGAAGATGAGGTCAGATCCCCTGTCCTGAATGTATAGGTGGTTGTGAGTTGACTGTAGGTTCTAGAAACTGAACTCAGGTCACCTGGAAGACCAGTCAGTACCCTTAACTGCTGAGACTTTTCTCCATCCCCTTCTTCTATATTTTATTGAGAATGAATTTCAAGTATGCAATGTGTATTTCAGCTTCTTTTTCTACCCCATGCATCCTTAAGTTTGCTGTCTTATATCCTGAAATTATTGAAAGCAGTAGTTATGCTTGCTTATTTTTCTATTGTTGTCTGAATGTAATAGTTCCTACTATTGCCTTCTGTTTTATCTAGATTATCAGTAATACACTCTTATGTATTTTAATTTGATTTCATTAGTTTTTCATTTCAATTTTTTAGTCCATGTTTCTGACTTCTGAAGCAACACTTGAATTCAGAACTTCCTGTCATCAACTTACTAAATTGACTTCTTTATTCATCTGTGTGACTCATCCTTGGGGCCACTGGTCATTTTTCAAACTGAACCTGGACTTTTTTTGTGTGGAAGTCAACCATTTCATATCTTTGGATTTAACCATTAGGCATTGTGGTCTTTCAACAGCCATGTTTTCTAGCATTTTCCTATTTCTTGTGTTTCTAAGTTGTGACTTGGGCATTTATTGAGGTGACTGTCCCTTTCCTAGCTTTATTTTGGGGATATTTTACTGGTCAACCTTATTTTGAGGTCTCAACCACAACACTGAAAGAGAAGAAAACCACCTGCTGCTCTAGCAACACCACCAAACTAAGTTACAAGAAAAGATACAATTTAAATCTAGTCAAAGTCCGATATATGCCAATAACAGTAGAAAATAAAATAGCAACGGTAACGCAGAATAAGCTGTGAAGTTAAACATTCACTAGGAGAGATGTAATTTTAAAAAAAGAATATAAGGAATGTGGGCATAAAAAAAGAAAAGCAAAGAACACATGTTAAATAAAAGAAAAAATAGTAAAAATGAAGAACGTGAACTTGCATCATCCGGAAAAACACTCAGGACCTTTTTCTGCTGAGCCATCTCTCAATCCCCTTCTGTTACACTTTACTGAGAAATGGACTGAATTCAAATGTAATGACTACATTTTTTGGTGGAGGAAATTTCAAAAGGGTGTGTCATTCAGGCTGTAGCATAGTCACTGTTCATTGTACTTATTCAAGTCTACAGTAAGATCAAGATACAAGGAGAGGGGCTGTATAGATGATAGCTGAAGGGTTGAGAGTACTTGCTGCTCTCGCAGAGATCTGGAGTTCAGTTCCCAGCACTCAAGTTGTGTTGCTTACAACTGTGTATAATTTCAGCTCTAGGTGATCCAATGCCCTCTTCTAGCCTCCATGGGCTCATGTATTCATATGCACATGCACACATATAAACAAACAATTTTTTTTAAAAAGAAGAAAATGTAGAACAGATAGGTATGAAAAATGTAGTTTGTTCAGGAAATGATAGTAGGTTTAAAATTGTGGAGAAAGGAGATGAAGACAAAGCATCTGTAACTGATTAGAGAGAGACATTAAAGAGAAATCTCCTGTTTGTTTTTGTTTTTTGTTTTTTAGGGCAAAGTTACATGTTGTGACAATGTTAAAACATTTGTAAGGAGAGAGCTTAAACTGAAAATTCAGCTGAAGGGTTTCTCTGCTCAAAAATAACTGTCTAGGAAAGTGTTTTACCAGGTTCAGCAACAAAGACACACAAAGGCTAATACTGCAGTGATAGAAGGAGCTAGACTTCACCTTGACATCTCAGCTGAACTTGGAAGCACTGTACCCATGGTGATGCTTTTACAGACATATGAAATGAAAGACTTGGGGGTAATCAAGTCTTGTGCCCACATTCCTGAGAGGTGTTGAGACCAGGCAATCTACTTGTAAGGAGTCCCTAAAAGTCCATTTCATGAAACGGGGAAAGTGAAGTTAAGTTGCAATGAAAACTCCAGGATTTTGGAGGTACTGGTACAATAAGACCTCTACTGAGAAAATTTGAAGGTATCCATGGTGTCATTACAGAGAGCAAACCTGGCGGAGTAGGGATTCCCAAGATTTTTGGAGCCCAGACAATGTCATCATAAGTCCCAAATGTGACACATCAAGGTATAGGATTTGCTGTTTCCACTGCTAGGTTTTGCTTTTGTTTTAATCTGATTTTTCCTTGCTATTATCAGATCCCTCCCCTTTGAAATGGAATTGTTTATTCTGGAGCCTTGTAGGTTGGAAGTATGTAACTTGTTTACTGATTTCATAGATATTCAAGGTTAAGATTCTCTTGAGTTTTAGAAAAAAGATCTTATACTCTAGAATAGTGTTGGGATGGACTAAATGCATCTGAAACTGAATCTTTAGAGTCCTGAGCTAGAATGTTATGGTCCAAAGTTACGTATTTAAGAATAAAATTGAGTGGTAGAGTTGTAAACACTAAATTTGACTGCCAACTTGATGGAAGTTGGAATTTCCATGAGAATATACCTCTGGCTGTGTCTGGGAGGTTGTTCCTAGAAAGGTTTAACTAACAAAGAAAAATCTATCCTGAATGAACTGCAAACCCAGACTAAACAAAAGGAGAAATGTAGCTGAACAGCAGCATTCATCTTTTTGTCTTTCAGACTGTGAATGCAACATGACCAGTTTATGCTTTTGCTTAAATACCTTCCCAAGCATAATGAGATGTACCATCAAACTGTGTGTCAGAATAAGGACTTCTTTTCTTAAGCTCCCTTTGTATAGTATTTTGTCATATAAATGAGAAAAATAACTAGTAAATTCTTCTCCTTTCTGCCTTTCGGTGGGTCCCTTCCTCACAATAGCCTCCCCATTTGCTGTGGTGGGAGATCCCCTCACACACCTTGTATACATATATGTATATATTGAAATTTAAGTTCTGAATATAAGAGAAAATATGTGATACCTTTTCTTTCATTTCAGTTTAGGCCTGTTCCTCCTCCCTCATACTCTTTTTCTACTTCTGTGTCATATATAATATTTATGCTTTTATATCTATACTAGACACAAAAGGAAAAAGTCAGTCTTTCTTCTTCCAGAATCTGAGTTATTTTAGTTAAAATGATAAATCTCTGGCTTACTCAATTTTCCTTCAAACAAAACACCTTTCTGTATATACCACAATTTCCTTATCCATTAATTGGTCTATAAGCATTGAGACTGATTATATATCTTGGTTTGTCTGAATAGTGCACTAAGAAACATGGAAGTATCTCTGTGGTATTCTTGGATCTTTCAGCTATACATTCAGGACTAGTATACTTGGACCACATGCTAGTTCTATTTTTAGTTTAGTTTTTTGGGGTTTTTTTTTTTTTTGGCTCTCATAGTGATGACAGTGTCACCAGGAGTCAGTATATTACTTTCTCATTGTTATTATAACAAATTACTACATGTATAGTAATTACTATTTTATAGTTTAAGAGGTCAATCTAAAATCAAAGTTTTGGCAAGGCTGCTTTCTTTCTTCAGGCTCAAGATGTTTCCCAACACTTTTCAGCTTTTAGATTCTACCTTCACTCCTATGCTCATGGTCCCCTTCATACACTCTCATTTCTTAATTCTGTAACATGTCTTGCTATTCTGATCCTGTTGCCTTCCTCTAGCATCGACTCTTGGCTAATCTTAATCATACAAGCTGGCCTTGAACTCAGAAATCCACCTGTCTCTGCCTCCCAAGTGCTGGGATTAAAGGCATGCGCCACCACCGCCCAGTTAAACTTCTTAAGTTAAAGAAACATACAAGGTTTATCTTACTATTTAACAGACTTACAGGCTTCAGAGATTAGTACATGGATATCTTAGTGGGGTAAATATTTATCCTACCATGGATAATCATTGAGTTTAGAAAAACCACAGAGTTGTAGGTGGTTAAGGCTATGAAGATAAGGAGAGTGTAATTTCTAGCTTGGGAAATGATATGAATACAGGTAGTGGATATAGAAACCAACATAATTTACAAGAAGAACATTAAAGAGACTAAGATAAATGAGGCAATTAAGTGGGAGGACAAAAGTCCAGATCACACTTTTGCCTTGAAGGCAGAAAGATCCCAGTGTTGTGTATTAGTGATTGGGAGTTACAGAAAGTTTCTAAGTGAGACTTCAACTGGCAATGTGTAAGCAGTGGTTTTGAAGATAATCAGTCTAGTAAGGACAGGACATTGGATTAAATATTTTGTTTCTGTTGAAGCATCACTAATAGCTAATGTTTCATCAAAAAACTTGAAGATAAATTGGTAACAATTCCAAAGGAGAATGAAAAGGCAAGGGAAGGATAATTCTACACTCTGTTGATCTATAGGGATGCAAGACACAAACAACAAAGAACTTCTTATGGTACTTTGTCATGGAAGACAATTTCTGTTTTAGAAGGAAAGGAAAAAATACATGAGGCTTACCTCATTGCCACATTACTTCCATCAATAACAATTGGTCTTAAATTATCAGTATTGTCTATTTCATCTTCAAGAGACAATTCAGGGCTTCCAATCTCTCTGGAGCTAGCTCCTCGGGGCAATAACAGACTTAAGTTGACTTGTGCTTCTGAATCACCTTTGTTTCCAATTCTGACAAGCTCTGCTAAAACATCATTAATAAGTGATTCTGGGCCTAGTTTATTAAGCACTGATTGAATTTGTTCTTCTGCATAGCCTAACTTGAGAGCAAAATCCATCTTGGCTTGGTATTCTTTCTCCAAGTCTAGCTTCCCATCCTGTAAAATGCTACTCTGGGAGAAGCTTGGCCGGTCCAGGCAGGGTGACCGACAGAGCGGGCGATGTGGCTTGGAGGGCATCTCTTTCTTCTTCAACTGAATATCTGCAGATTGGTAGCTGTTGTGGCCACTCATAAAGCTCATCTGTTCAGGGTCACTCTCAGAGTTCACCCATTCTTCAGGATCAGCATTGCCTCGGTCTGTGCTGTCCTCCTGCTTTGGTTGTTGCTTCTCTTCCTTGGAAGCACTCTTCTCCATTTTTGGTGTCTCCACTGCAGCTGTGGCCGTCATCCCGTTCACTGGGTGCTCTGAGATCTAATCAGCTATTTTTCTTTTTAACCTGCTTGGAATCCATGTACAGTGGCATTCCTCTAGAGTAGAATGCTGGGGGAGCAATGGTGCAAGAGTTTGTGTGTTTGGTTTTGTATGTTCAGATGTTAGCAGTCTCTACAAAGAAACACATATGGCATAATCATATATAGTAACATTTGGGGAAAAACACAGAATACATAGTTTTTCCCTCAGAAATTACAGATCCTCTCAAATTTGACTTTTCTGTTTACAATGGTATGAAGAGTCATTAATTCCAATAGTTCTAGATGAAATTTCAGTAGTGGTAATAAAACCATAACCCCTGAAACCATAGCTAAAGTTATTATTACAAATTTGAGAGACATTGCACTCCATCAGTGTGTGTGTGTGTGCGTGTGTGTGTGTATTAACAAGACTCTTTTTCTTCCTTTGTCCTGGGAAAGTATTTCTAGATACACACCAGATCTGTCTTGTTAAGCTTGCAGTCTACTCCTGAAAAGCATATCTTCATCATTACTATTTACAAAATATTAAGAATCTCATCTTCTAGGGAAATTGAATAGATATTAAAATTGCTTTTACACAACTAAGGTGTCATGTAAAAGAAACATTTACAAAGGCATGCTCTAGATGTGTGCAAACTCATTCCTTAATATATCTGCCATCTCTTTACTCATTGTAATTGGTAAATAAAAGAAGCAAACCAGCTATGCATAGTGATACATACCTCAAGTCCCATGAATTCAGGAGGCCAAGACAGGAGGTTCCCTTGAGCCTTGGGAGAGATATCTCTCCCTATAGGCAACAGAGGGAGACCCTGTAAAATAGAAAAGAAAATATCAACTCAACATGTTTGATAAACATTAAAATATTAATTACAGAAGATGATTAGATGCAATTTTATTTCTAACGTCTCATATACACACTCCACCTGTCCTGGCAGTTTTAAGTTCTATTTTTTTTTTGTCTTTTGTGATTTGAGTTTTTCTCATGTGTGAAGTGAAGATGTTCATTGATATCTCACAGAATAATTGTAATGATTACATGAAAAGGATGAGGATGCTTAGAAAAGTCAATAGAATGCAGTAAATTCTCAACATACATAAAGGAAGCAGCAGATTCCTCAGTGTACAACGTTTTTCTTTGGGTCAGTGTCTCACACTGTAGCCCAGGTTGGCTCGAACTCATAGAAATCCTCTGGCTCAGCTTCCTGAGTAGCAAAATTATAAATGTAAGTTATTGCATCTGTTTCAGAGCTGTTTTCTTTTTTACATGTTTGTTTTATTTTTGAAAAATTTCTCCCCATGTAGCTTGGCTAGCTTTGAACTTGTTATGTAGACCAGGATGGACTTGAACTCACAGAAATTCACAAGCCTCTATCTGTCCAGTTCTGGAATCAAAGGCATGTACAGCCATACTCACCTATTTGTTGGTTTATTTTAATATTTTTATTGTCTGAGATTATGATTACATTATTTTCTCTGACCCTTTTCTTCTCCCACTTAGCCCAATGTGCTCTTTCAAATTCATGGCCACTTTTTCTTTAAGTGTTCTTACATATTATTTTAAAGGAAAGTGGAGCAAGGCTATAAGGGCTGTGAGCATGGGAATTTTTTTCAGGCATCATCTGTGTTCACTAATACAAAACAAGGTTATCCATGTAACCAATATACTAGAGACTTCCAAATCATATCAATTCTATTTATACAGGCAAGAAGAAAAGCTACACATAGTTTTAACAGTGTCACAGCTGTTTTTTGTTTTTTTGTTTTTTTAACTTTGGGATTCATATCTGGAAACATTCATACAAAAATGACATTTCTGAACTGGTATTAAGGAAGTATGTAATGACTTCTCCAGTGACTTCACTAGTACTTTTGGCTTTAAATTTTTCTTTTTGCTGGGCATTGTGGCTCATGCTTATTACAGAAATATTTCCATGTGTTCAAGACAAGCCTGGTCTACACTGTAGGACTCTGTCTCAAAAACTTTCCCTTAGTTAATTACCCAATACAGAGATACCAATATTAACTTTGCTTTTCCCATTTATTGGGTTCTTAAAACTTTTAAGTTGATTTAATTTGTAATTCTTGCATTTATTGATTTATGTTTCGTTCTAGTCAGAATAATATCTAGTGTACAAAGGTACTGATTTTATTGTCTAGCTCTTATTCAAAACCCCCAAATCACTTAAAAAACCATTTGTGGGACTTTCTGTTTATTTTGGGCACACACTAAGTAAGTATAAAAGGCTATTTTGTTTCTCTTAGATAATATACTATAAATTTACTTTGCTGATCCTCTTCTAGTGGGACTTACATTGACATCCTGGGAAAATGTCCACCATGTTCATAAAGACACAAAACACAATTAAACTCACAGAAAATATTACCTAGACCAGCAACTCTTATTGAAATCATTAGTCAGTGCAAATTTTCTCACTTACAGTAGGAGAAAAAGACCTCAGTAGAAATAAACTTGGACCAACCTTTAAAATTATTAAAGAATTTTAAGAAAACTGTTATTTGTCCTATATCTTGTATTGGTATATGCCACATATATTTTTGTTTCAGAATGGAACCTGAAACAAATTTCTATACCTACATTCATTGTTAAATTAATTTTTAGCTAACATATAATTTAGTAGTTCACAATTATTCCTTATGTTTGATTTTACCTTATGTGTATTTCATATATCTATATATAATTGTGCACCCGCCACACACAGTCATATACTGTGTGTACTTTGCTCATATTCATCTGTCCTTTATTCTGCCTTTTTCTCTAACTCCGTACCTCTAGTCCCTTCTTCCCTCAAATATTCTTCTCTCTTCCTCTCTCCCCCATCTCATATATATATGATTTTTTGAGACAGGATGTCATGTAGCCCAGGCTGGTATAAATAACTTGGAGTATAGCTGATGATGACCTTGTACTTCTGATTCTTCCTTTGATTAATGCTTAATATTAATGCTGTAATAACCACTGATACGTAAGCTACATCTAAAGTGTGTGCTTTCTAGTCACTTCTTAAAATCTATTTTTTGAGTTCTTTGGCTAAAGACCCATTTTTGATTGCTCTTTCTAAGCCTGAGGCTCAACATATTGTCTAACACAGTTCTTATGAATGAAGAGATACTATACTCCTGCTGTCTTGTCCTAAGAAGTTTGCAAACACATACAAGTTTTCCTGAGACAACTCTCAGTCTCTGCCTATAATTCTGGTATAATTATTAGTTAAATCCTTTCATTCTCTAGAGTCTCAGCATCCATGTTTGTTTACCAGTACCCATGTGGTTGCTCACAGCCATCTGTAACTCCCGTTCCAAGGATTTTGATGCCTTCTTCTAGCCTCCAAGGGTACCAGGCCCCATTCAGTAAATAAATAAATATGAAGGCAAATACTCAGGCATGTAAAATAGAAAAAAAATAAGTATTTGAAAAAAGTAACATAACTGTCTTAGCCAATGTTTTCTTGTTTTGAAAAAACACCATGACCAAGGCAACTCTTACAAAAGAAAACAATTGGGGCTTGCTTACAGTTTCAGAAGTTTAGTCCATCATCACAGTGGGAATCATGGTGGCACACAGGCAGTCATTGTGCCAAAGATGTAGCTAAGAGTTCTATATCTGGATCTCAAAGCAGCAGAAAGAGAAAGCCTCTGGGCCTGGCTTGGGCTTCTAAAACTCCAAAGCCCATCCCTAGTGACACATTTTCTCCAACAAGGCCATACCCACCCTAACAAGGCCATATAACCTAACCTGCTAGTACATGAGCCTATGGAGGCCATTCTTATTCAAACCACCACATTAAACTCCTGCCCCCCATAGGCTTGTAGCTGTATCATAATGCAAAATGCAGCTAGTCAAAGTTTAAAAGTCCCCATAGTCTATCATAGGCTTCCATCAGATAGCATGACCCAGATTAAATCTGGATTAAATATCTGGATTAAAGATATGTCTTCCTACCTCAAAGATTCAGATTGGAAGTAGATAAAAATCTCTCACAGGTATGCCCTCCAATTTTGGGTTTTAGTTAATTCCAGATGTAGTTAAGTTGACAATCAAGAATAGCTATTAGAGCAACAGATTCTGTTGTTTTTAAATGGGGACTTGATATAGATAGCAAAATGTGTATCTGAATATAAATTGTGCCTAAGTTGCTAATTATTTAAAAGCCTATGGACTTATAAGGTATACTTTAAGAAAATAGTAACAACTTCTGGACAATAAAAAGTATTTAAAATTATAAACACATGAAGATCAATATGATAGAATGATTTGGTCAACATCACATGCTTAATATTACTAGTGAGGAAAGATAAATGAAAACATTGAGGATGGCTTTGAAGTGATTGTAAATGGGTGAACTTAGATGATGTTTTAGCTACCACTGGTAGGAGGAATTAAAAAGAGTTGTTATATTTCATTGCTATTGAGTTGAAGAAAATCACAAATCATCAAAGTTTGGCATAGTTTTGAAAATCAAATTAGTTGGATGAAATTGTGGAACTGGATTAGTTAGCTTTAGAAATTCAGAGGTTTGCCACCAGATACCTATAACTCGGTTAAGATCATCCTGAGTGAGGTAACTCAGACCCAAAAGGACATGCATGGTATGTACTCACAAGTGGATAATAGCCTAAAAGGTACAGAATACCCAAGATACAATCCACAGAACTCAAGAAGGTTAATATGCCAAAGGGCCCAAGTGAGGATGCCTCAATATCACTCAGGAGGGAGAAGAAAGCAATCATGGAAGGCAGAGGGAGGGAGGTAGGGATGGATGGATGGATGGGATAGAGGAGGGGGAGGGAAAGGGGAAAGGGGAACACGATCAGGTATTGGGGAGGGGGAACAGAAGTGAAGTCCTGAGGGCCAGAAGAAAGAATGGAAACAGGCAACCTTGGGAGGTAGGAGGTAGGGGATCCTCTAGAATGTACCAGAGACCTGGGAGGTGAGAGACTCTCATCACTCAA